CGCCCCCGCCCTCTTCGGGTGCGCCGTTCCCCGCCGGTCTCGTCGGGGGCGTCCCCTGCTGTGGTCCCCCCCGTGTTCCCGGCGCGCCCCGCGAGTTCTTCGCCGGCCTTCCCTCCGCCAGGGTGCCCCTGCCCTCTCCCCCCCCCTTTCCCCCTCCTCCTCCTTGCTCGCCGCTGTCCCTCCGTGGCCTGACTGGCGGTGTCGCCCCCCCTCGCCACCTCTCTCTCTCTCTCTCTCTCTCTCTCTCTCTCTCTCTCTCTTCCTCAGCTCTGTCTGCTCTGGCTCTGTCTCTTCCTCTGTCCTCGCCTATCTGTCTGTCTACTCTCTCTACTCGCTCGTCTCTCCCTTCTCTCGCTTCCTCTCCTCTCCCCTTTCTGTGTGTGTGTGCTGTGTCCTCTCTCTCTCTCTCTCTCCTTACTGTCCTCATCTCTCTCTCTCTCTCCTCGCGTGTCTGTCTGTCTCTCTCTTCTCTCCTCTCTCGCTCTCTCTTCTCTCTCTCTCTCTCTCTTGGTCTGGGTCTCCTCTCCCCTCGCCCTCGTGTCTCTTCTCTCTCCTCTCTCTCTCCCTCTGTCATCCTCTCTATCCCTCTCCGTCGTCTCTCTCCTCTCTCTCTCTCTCTATCCGCTCTCCTCCTACGCCGCCTCCCTCTCTACATGTCCACCACCCCCCCTCTCTCCTCTCCCTCTCTCCTCTTTCTCCTTCCCCCTCCGGTTAATTTGCCGTGCCCGTCCCGTCCTGTTCCGCCTCCGTGGGGCCCGCTTTCCCCTCCCGCTGGCCCTGGAGACGCTTTTGGCCGCAGCCCAGCGGGCTTGACCGGCCTGGTGCCGCCCCACCCCCCGCCCCCCTGTGCCATGTCCGCTCCTTGCCTCCCTTGGGGGGGGACCTTCGGGCTCACCCCCGCCGCTCTCACCCTTTTCTCGACTATTCCGCAGGCGTTCGACCGGCGTCTGGCGCCCGGCGTCTTGGTCTCGCGCCGCCGCCCCCCCTCCAGCTTCCCCTGTGGCCCGTTGGCTCGGGCCCATGCGCCCCCCTGCCTTGCCTGTTCGGGCCCACAGCTGGGTCCGCCCCGCTGCCTCCTGTCACCTCTGCTATTCCATCTGTTCTTCGCCCCCCTCCTGCTCGCAGCGCTGGCCCCCTCTGCCGCCCGGTCTCCTGGCAGGGCCCACCGGGCGGCACCCTCAGCCTTTGCCCTGCTTGCCGTCGCCCTGCCGCCCTTGCGCTCCTCACGGCCAGCTTCGCCACCCACAACGCGCCCCGAGGCCCTGGAGCTCCCAGTGCCCCGCGCCCGCTCTGGTCCCCTCCCCCCGGCCTTCGCCCTGGCCCGTCTTGCCGCGCTTGGACCTGGGGGCCTCCCTTCAGTCTTGGGCTCCCTTTCCCCCACGGTCCTTCCCCCCGCCCGCCTTGCCCTCCCTGGTCCGCGCGCCCGCCTCCCTTGCCCCCGTCGCCCCCTCTAGCCCCGCCCGCACCATGCGCGTGGAACCCCGCTTCCGCATCACGCCTACTCCCCTCCCGCTGGGTGCTGGGGTGTCCCGCCTTTGCACCCACCTCTGGCCGGAGCTGCCCGCGTTGGCCCTCCCCCTTCCGACGTCCTTCGCTTGGGATCCACGACGGGCCCTCCCCCCCCTCTCCATCCGGCCCGCGCTCCCGCCCCGGCGGCCCCTTTGCCCCCCTCCTTCCCTCAGCCAGCAGCCGGCCGCTGGCCCTGGTTTGGCCCTGTGCCGCGGCTCCCGGCCACCCCGCCTCCCCGCCTGCCTGGCCCTGTGCCGGTCCCCGCCGGCCCCGGCCCTCGCCTGCCCTGCGGAGGGGGCCTCCACGCGGGCCCGCCGCCCCCCCCCGCCTGTCTGCGGTTGGCTGCCGCTCGGGCCCGTGGAAGCGGGCGTGCCCGCCCGCCCCCGGGCCCCCGCCGTCCGGTGCCTCGCCTGCGGCCCTGGCCGGGAGCTATCTATCTACCCCCCCCCCCCCTCCATGTCGCTCTTCTCCCCCTTGGTCTTGTCTTGTGGCGCTGGGGGGTGGTGCGGGTGTGGTCCTCTGTCTCTCTGGTGTTTTCTCGCTCCACCGCGATCGCCCCTCGCTCCTCCTCGCTCTCGCTCTCTCTCCTCTCTCTCTCTCCTCTCTGTCTCTATCTACTCTCTGCACTATCTCCTCTCTCTGTCTCGCCCTCTCTCTCTGCTCTATCTCTCTAGTCTCTTCTCTCTCTTCTCTCTCCCTCATCCTATCTTCTCTCGCCTCTCTTCTCTTCTCTCCGCTCCCGCCTCTCGCTCTCCTCTCCCCCCCCTTCCCCCTCCCCCCCCTCCCCCCCCCCCCCCCCCCCCCCTCTCTCGCTATCTGCTCTCTCTCTCTCTCCTGGGGGGGGGGATGTATCCTGTGTCTCTATCTGTCCTCTCTCTTCTTTAGGGTGTCAGGTCTGGCGCCGCATCGCCGCTACTCGCCTTCCCCCTTCTCTGTCCTCCGTCCCCCGTCTCCTCCTCCCGGCATGCTCGACTGTCTCTGCTGTGCTTAGTCGTTTGTCCCCCTCCATGCCCGTCGTCGCTGTCTGCCCGTGCCTGCCTCCTGCTTTTTTTTCCCCCGCTCCTTGGTTTTGGGTCCGACACGTGCTTCTGCCCTGTGTCCCCCCCATCCCCTTGGTCTCGTTTGTCCCGGCCCCCCGCCCCCTCGCCTTCGTTTTCGTCTCTGGCCCCGCCCTTCTCCCTCGCCTGCGCCTGCACTCCTTTCGCCCGGGGGGGGGGGCGGCCCGGTTTCCGGCGGCCGGATGGGCCACGTCGCGGCCGGAGCGCCTACGGGGGACCCCACCCGAGGCTGGTAGAGGGTGGCTGTTGCTGTGCCCCCGTCTGTTCTCATTGTAATCGTGGTCCCCGTTTGGTCACCCAAGAACTTGCCCTTCTTTTTTTTGGGTCCCGGCGCAACGGGCGCTTGCTGCGAGTGTGCAGCCACCTGTTACGCGTCGTGCCTTCCTTCTCCTGTTCCGGCCCGTGCGGGCTGGTGCCTGAGGGCCCCGGCGGCGGTGCGACACGCCCGGCCAGTCCGAGTTCGCGCGGGTTGCGGTGTTGGTCCCGTGGTGCGCTCTCTGTTGTGCCGGCGCTCCCCGCCATCCGGCAGGAGTCGTCTTGCGTTCTGCGCCGTCTTGCTCTTTGCTACCTCCCCTTTTCATGCCTTCCTGTCTCTTCCCTATTTCGTCCAATCATCTCCCTGGCGATGGGCAATCCTCGGGGCGCTACCCCCCGCCTTGTCGGCCTCCTCTCTTGCTGTTGGGCTCTCTTTGTGCCTGCCCGTCTCTTTTTCTTGTGCTCTGGGTTCCCTCTGAGCTTTTGCCGCATGCCGGGCGGTCCGGCACACGCTGCCGCTGGGTTTACCCGGGCCTCGATCCGCGGTGGTCCCGGGGTCGCCGCGGGGGGGGGAGGGGGGGGAGGCGGCCGGACAACACTGGACACTCGTTTTGTCAGTGATATCGATCTTGCCCCTCGTGCGACCGTGTACCATGCGTTTCTTGTGCCTTCTCTGGCCACACCCCTTGGGTTTCTGCATTTCGGGGTGGCTTTGTCTGTGTCTATCTCTATCTCTCGCTATCTCCTTATTCTCTCTCATCGCTATCTCTCTCGCTATCTCCATCTCGGTCTATTTATCTTTCTTCTCTTCTCCATATCTGATTTTCTCTGTCTCCTATCTACATATATTATCGTTCCCTAGTCTCTATCTCGTACTCTCTGTCTCTTTCCTCTGTCCTCTCTCTCTCAGATCTGTCTCTTGTAGTGTCTCTTCTCTCTGTCTGCGCTCTCTGTCTCTGTGTCTCTCTCCTCTCTCTCTCCCTCTCTCTCTCTGTCTATTTCTCTTGTCTCTCTCTATCTCTGTCTGTGGATCTCTCTCACTCGATCTCTCGCCTCTGTCTCGTCGTACTCTCTCTCCCTCTTCCCCTCTGTGTGTGTGTGTGTGTTCGGGTGTGTGTGTGTGTGGGTGTGTGTGTGTGGGTGTGTGTGTGGTGTGTGTTGGTTGGGTGTGGGTGTGTGTGCGTGTGTGCGTGGTGCGTGTGTCTTGGCCGAAGGGGGGCGCCCGCGCGGGAGGGGCGCGGGGTTGGATTCTTGAAAACGCACCACCTGGTCCTGCAGCTTACGTGTTATTGCTTCGAGGGAGATGCGCGCCCGACCTCTCACGGCCGCCAGCAGGAGCGAGCCCCGCCGTCGCTGGACGGCGGGGATGGGTGCCCGGGGCGGAGGCGCTGGGGGCGGGGGGGGCCGTCTCTTGAAGCAGTGGGAAACTGCCTCCGCGTTTCTTTTTTCGTTCTTCTTCTCCCGTTGCTGTGCCTGCGGTTGCGTGTGGCGTGGGTGGGGGTAGCGATCTCCTCCGCGATGCGTCGCCCTGTATCTCTATCTCTCTCTATCTCACGCGAGCGCGAGAGCGCGCGCGAGAAGAGCGCGCGCGCGCGCGATTGCTCGCTCGTGCGCGCTTCTTCCTGTCTCCTCCGCCCAGTCGGCGCGGTCCCTCCCCTTTGTCCTTTCCTGGAGCCTCCTCTTTGGCTCCGCGCCCGCTCTGCGCCGACCGTGCCCCTTCTACTCCTTCTGTTCCCCTCCCGTAACTCTGTCATCCCATGGGGCTAGAAGCATTTACCTTACTTCGTTCTCATCATACTTTTACTGAAGGCAGTCTTTTACTCTTCCTCTTCCCCGTGAGTGTCCAGAGTAACTGCTTAACGTTCTGTTTTTCGTTCCTTTAGATTCATTTATTCCTGACTTATTCCTTTCTTCCCTTCATTTCTTTTCTTTAGTTTGTTTTGTGTTTTATTTCCTCTATCGCTCCTTTTTTTATACTCCGCCTCCGCCGCTCCGTCATGAAACGGGACGATGGTTCTCTCGCCGTTTGGGGGCGGGGCGGGGTCCGTGATTTTTGTCAGTGGGTCTCTGTGCGGCCCTCCGCGAACCGACGAAGCACTTTATGCAGCAGGCCTCCGCCCCCCCCCTTGAGACTCCCAGCCCTGCGTTTTACCCTGTAACGCCTTTTGTCTTCGCTTTCCCATCGTTGGCGCTTTAACAGTCCCTTCTTGGGGCGATCTCCTGGAGTACGCCGGGTCGCTTACGCCCCTCCTTTTCATCGCTTGACACCGGTTTGACAAGCGCATGTCGGGCTGTCCCGCCGTCTTTCTTCCCTGCCGCTGCTGTCTTCGTCCTACCGCTTTTTTTGCGTTCATTGGTTCATTCTTCTCCTCGGCTCCAGTCTAGTCTCTCTCTCCTCCTCTCCTCTCCTCCTCTCACTCGCGCTCTCTCGATCTCCTCCTCTCGCCTCTCTCCTTCTCCTCTCGCTCTCTCGCTCCTCTCTCTCTCCTCTGATGGTGATCCCAATACCTCCATGCGACACTAACTCGATCCTCTCACCCATCCTCCCTCCTTCTTCGTCTCCCTGAGCTCCTTCTTCTTTCCTGTCCTAGGACGGTTCTAATCCTCCTCCCCTTCATCGCCCTCCGCGCCTGTTGTGCTGATAGAGCTCGTCTGCTCCTTCCTCGTTCCTCTCCGCCCACTTGTTGCTGTCCGCCTATCGTCCCCCTCGTCTCGTGACTCAGAATATTCTCACCATCCCATCGCAGATTTTATCTACCTCCCCTGTGGCTCGGATTCCACTCGCGCTAGCGTGCGTACGGTTTGCTGGTTCCTAGCGTCGTTTGTGTCTTTCTCGCTGGTTCATGGTCACAGTCGCATTCAGCCCCTGCCAACTCTCCTCGCGGGCGTCCTGCGTCCACGCCGTCTCCGTCTCCTCTGGCCCCCCCCGCCCCCCCCCGCCCCCCCCGAGCCCAGGTTCGGGGTGGGGGGTGTCCTCCGCCCACTCTCCCGGTAATCTCACCCTCCTCTCGTCCCTCCCCTCCCCCCCCCACCGCGCCGTCGGTCCCAGCGTTTTTCTCTTCCGCCCACTTTCATCCCACCTCCCCCCGCTCTCGGTTTCGCGGGCTCCGCGCGTTCCTCCTCCCTGTTCCCCGTCCGCCTGTCTCTCCCCGGCTGCCTTTTGCCTTCCCTTTTCCACGTTCCTTCCCCCGCGCTGGTTTGTCCCTGGGTTTCCTCTTTCCCCTCTTTCGTCTCACCTCTCCGCCCTGGTACCCTTCTCCGGCGTGCGCCTTACTCTCGCGGGCGCGTACCCTATCGCTTTCCCTTGTCGTTCTCTGTGCCTCCCCCGTGGCCCCTCCGCTGCCCTTCCCCCACCCCCCGCCATTCCTCAGCGTTCTTGCCCTTTCTTCTTCCTCTTCCCTCCCCGTCTCCCTTCTCGGCTTTTTTCGTTTCCCTTCCCCGCCGCCCTGTCTGCCTTCCCCCTCCCGCCTCGCTCCCCCTCCTTCCCCGGCTCTTTTGTCCTTTTCTTCCCCCTCCTCCTCTTGGTTCCCCCCCCCCTCCCCTTTTCTCCCCGCCTCTTCTGCGGCCTTTCTTTCCTCTTTCCCTCCGCTTTTCTTTTCCCTGTCCTGCTTGCCCCCTCTCCCCCTCCCCCTCCTTTTCCGCCTTCTTCCCCGGCGGATTCCTATGGCCTTCGCCCTCTTTTCCTTCGCCCTCCTGTCCCGCACTCTGCTTATTTCCTGCTCCCCCTGGCTTCCTCTTTTTTCCCCCCATCCGTTTCCTTTCTGTTGTATCCTGGCACCCCTGGTTATCCCTGTTCCGTCACCTCATGCCCCTCGTCCCTTTCTTCTTTTCCTTTCCCTCTTTCTGCCGTTTCCTCTTTTTGCCCACTCTTTTCGGTCCTCCTCTCTCCCTCATTTCCTCATCCTCGGGCTACTTCCCCCTCATCCCCTGCCCGCTCCCTTTCCCCCAGTCCTTATCGCTTCCGCCCCTTTCCGTCTCTTTACCGCGTCCTCTTCCGCCCTGTCCCCGGCTTCCTCCCTTTGCAGTTTATCACTCGCCCGACCGCCTCCTCCACACCTCCCTCCCTCCTCCATCTCTGCTCCGTCCCACCCCCCCCCATCCATCTCTCCCCCCTTCTGTCCCTTCTCTGTGTCCCCCCCCCCGGGCCCTCCTTCCCCCATCCCGGCCCCCTCCCCTCTCCCCCTGCCCCGGCCCTCCCGCGCACCGTCCTTTCTCGCGCCACCGCCCCCCCCCTCGCCCCCAGTCCCCCGTCTCAGTCCCTTCCACGACGCGCGCTCTGGCGTTCGGCGTCCTCGCCTTGGTCTGCCGCAGTCGCCGCGGGTGGGCAGGCTCCGGGTCCTGCCCCCGCGGGGCGGGCATGCCCCTTCGCTTGCCCCTGCTCCCGCCCCTTCCTTCATCCCGTTGCCTTTTTTTTTTTCCCCTCCCATTTTCTTCCCTGTACTCGACCGCCTTGCGCTCGGACTCTCGCCTAAATCCCTCCACTACTGTTATTTCCTCCTGCCCCCCCCCCCGCTTTTTGTGTGTGTGTGTGTGTGTGTGTGTATGTGTTGTGTTGTGTGTTTTGTGTTTGTGTGTTGTGTGTGTGTGGTGTGTTTGTTGTGGTTCCCATCTCCTTCTACATTCGGCCGAGGCCGCCGGCACGCGCACTGGCCTGGCGCTGTCGGAAGGGTGACGGGCG